TTAACTAGCTATGGAGAGCTGAAACACTGGAAGTAACCAGCTCTGGTTATAACATTTGTACTGTCATACGATCAATCCTGGAGCTGTCAAAGAAAAGTTACAGTGGACAGAATTAAACAGAGAACGAGTTTACTGAAGTCTATTGCAATAGGGGTGAAGACTATTATTATAGAAAAGGGGAGAGGAACTGAACACCACTGAAACAAGGTGGAGAGTTACTGTTTTTTGTTTTGTTTTGTTTTTGGAGACAGAGTTTCTGCTCTTGTTGCCCAGGCTGGAGTGCAATGGCGCAATCTCAGCTCCTGGGTTCTTCAACCTCCACCTCCCAGGTTCAAGTTATTGTCCTGCTTCAGCCTCCCGAGTAGCTGGGATTACAGGCATGTGCCACCATGCCCGTCTAATTTTGTATTTCTAGTCCAGATGGGGTTTCTCCATGTTGGTCAGTCTGGTCTGGAACTTCCGACCTCAGGTGATCCACCCGCCTTCGCCTCCCAAAGTGCTGGGACCACAGGAGCGAGCCACCGTGCTGGCTTGTGGAGAGTTTTGGAGCATAGAGATGAGCTAATGGGAAAAGTATTGGATGAACTTAGTCGCGGGAGGTTGGTCATCTGCATTTGTTAATTAGAGCTTATTAAAATTAGGTTCCTACCCTCCCACAGAGACTGGAAGTTAGGGCACTTTTCTTGATGATTACATTTCAAAAGGATGCTCCCAGTTCCTCGAGAAATTTATTTCTGGTTGTGAAACTGTCAAGAGGCTGTGAGAAGATTCACAACTTAAAGAGGCAGAGAAGAATATACAATTACAAGTTTTTTAAAGTAAATGTCAGAAAAGGGACATCAGAGACCTATAGTCAGGGAGAAACCTTTCAAATATTTCATCAAGTTGAGAGGAATGTTAAGACTGTCTTGTCAGGATAAATTCCAGATAAATAAAAACTGTCTTCATGAATTATATGTCTTAGATAGCAAACACATATATAAGCCCCACTGATACTTTATCAGCCTATACAGAGATGGCTTAAAAATTAAATTACCAGCATTTTAACTTAGTGCTTAGCAAAAAAAGAAAAATCTGACTATTTCCTTGGCTGAACTTACCTACAGTTTTGTCTCACACTTCACTGGTAGTTTGGTTTGATATAATTCTAGGTTCAAATTCATACTTTTTTATAGTATGAAGAATTTGTTCTATTTGTTTATAACATATATAATAGCTGTTAAGAACTCTGATCTGTTTTTTTTTAAGGAGCAGTTTCTTCTTTATTTGTTTTTATTTGCTTTATGTTTAATGTCTAACATTCATAGTGATGTGGCTGACTTTTATTTATATATTCTGCTCAGCATTCACAGAACACTTTCAGTATGAAAAATCTCATTTCTTTAAAATGTTTATGGTTTTCTATTCTCAGTTTTAAAGTTTCTCTTTTTGTGGATAGTGTGAGGCAGGAGAATAGGGTCTAGAGGCAGGGACCATAAGGCCAATTCATGCTAACTTCCTAGAATTAAACCAAATGAAAACACTGCATCTATGACAGGAAATATCTACACAGGGCGTAAACCAAGTAAATGAGTTTGTAACTTTACTTCATCCTCTTCGTTTACATATGGCATACACCAAGTATCCAATGGAAACCTCTAGAGGGTATTTAAACTGCAAAAAATTCTATTATGTGGCTCTTGAGCCCCTATTCTCGGCCCACTCCCATCCTGTGGAGTGTACTTTCATTTTCAGTACATCTTTGCTTTTATTGTTTCCTTCTTTCCTTGCTTTGTTTGTGCGTTTTGTCCAATTCTTTGTTCAAGACACCAAGAATCTGGACCCCTCCACTGGTAACAAGTGGACCCACTTCTTTTATATGTTTTTGTTTTTCTCACATTTTCTTTCTGCCTTTTAAAGCAATGTGTTGAACATTTGTATGAATTTATCATATAAATTAATTAGTCAACAATATACTGTTTTATGACTGCAATGTACATATAAATCACATCAGCTCTGCAGATTGTGTTTTTTAAATATTCCCTAGTTTGTTAAATTATTCTTTTATCTCCTGCAATAATATTTCCTGTTATTTTATTCTGGTCTCTTTTACATGGTCTTTCTTCGCATCTTTCTGTGTTGACTTCATTGTTCATTTATATTTTATAATTAAGAACTGGTTTGGATAATTCATGCTTCTAAAGTTGTTTTTCTGAGGAGCCCCTCCCAGATGTAAGGAAGCTCTCTGGGCATGTAGATGTGGGATAGGAGCTTGACATAAAGAATGCAAGTTGTTATAGGCTGAATTGTGCCCTCTTCCTAACTCATAAGTTGAAATCCTGATGCCTAGTATCTCAGAATGTGGCTGAATTTGGAAACAGGATCTTTGCAGATGTAATTAAGTTACAATGAATTCATTAGAGTGAGCCCTAATTGAATATGACTGGAGTCCTTAAAGAAGAGGAAATTTGAACACCGACATATGCAAAAGCAAGGCCATGTGAAGACACAGGAAGACAGGGATCTGCAAACCTCGCAGGAAGTCTTCAGTAGAAATCAACTCTGCTGACACCTTGATCTCAGACTTTTTGCCTACAGAATCATGAGAAAATAAATTCCTGATAGCTCTAAAAATAACGAATAATTCTATAAATTTGAAAGTATGCAAGTAATATAAATATGCAATGTGATTAAAAACCAATTACAAAAAGGAAAGGCTACCTAACTGGAGATAAGAATCTTTTAAAAAATAAATCTCCAGTCAAAAGAAACATACAAATCAAAATTATAGAAATTCTAGAAAGAGATGCTTATAGAAACTGTGTTCACATTTTTAGGAAATAGTTGAAAGAAAATAAAAGAAATAAGCATTCCATTTAAAAGGTAAGAAAATAGACAAAGACACTAAAAAGTCAAAATAAGAAAAGAGTAAGAAAATCAAGTGGAAAAGTCAATAAACTAGAATAGAAAAAAAAATTTTTTTTAAATCCAAGTTATTTAAATATAATGACAAAGTTGACAATCCAGTAACCAGAAAACAGAAGGAATGAAAACTGGAGAAAGAATATTCAAAATAAGAAGTGGTAAGAAGAAAATAATCAAACCTCAAATACAGAGGTTTTTAATGTGTGTAAGAAACCACTTTTCCAACTGTGTGCCAAAGAAATTTGAAGCCTAGAGGAAATGGATAATTTTCCAGGAAAAATATAAGTTAGCAAAACTGATCCCAGCACAGAATTATAAACAGCCCGGTTTTTACAGAGGCTATCATTAAAGACCTGCCCCCAAATAAGCACTTGGCTTAGGTGAGGATTCAAAGACCAGATAATCCCAGGGTTACCCAAACTGCATTAGTGAATAGGAAAAAACAAATCAAAACAAAAAAAAAAGAGAAAATCTTCTGAATTCCTTTTATGTAATAACCTACCCCAGTCATTTCCATGTTCTCAGATATGTTTCTGCCCTTATCTGAGTCTGTGGGGCAGGATCAGGACCCCACAAGCTACAGTCCCCAGACACCCACACCAAATAAATGATCTCCAGTTGGGTTTGGTAAATGAATTGCCCTCATGAGATGTTAGACAGGATGAGGAGGGAAGAACTGATTCTTACCCCTTCTCTTTGGCATGGCATTTCTGGCTGCACGAATAGGAGCAGCAACCATAGTGTTCAGAGTGTTGAGAGTGACACTTGCAGCCACAAAGAGGAACATAGGCCTGGGAATGCAGACTTGTTAACCTCCTGCTCAGGCAGTGTGGTTCCCAGCAAAGATAGCTCTGGTCTAGACATGGCACTGACAGGCTCCCCATTAGGAGGATTTGACTTGCAGCAAAAGCCACTTTATCCGTGTGCCACAGAGATCTTGGGCTTGCAGCATCACTGTTTACTGGTTTGCAGCAATTTAATTTTTAGTAATGTTATCTTCACTTCTGCTCCTCTAATCTTTTCAAATTGTATAACTAATTTATCCATAAATTGCTTCTGTTTGGAATACCTACTGTGGTGTCTGATTTCCAGATGGAACATAACAGATGCACAGGCATAATATTAATATTTAAATCCAATAATGATTTCACATAAAGTATAACTGCAGATCAACCTCATCTGTACAAATACTGTTGAAGATATTTGAAATAAAGTAATATTAACACTAGAGGTAATAGCACATTAAAATTAATGAATAATGACTAAGATTTATTGCAGTAATCAAGAGATAAAAAATTAGAAACTCAATTAATATAATTCATGCTATTGAATAGATATAATGAGAAAAAATTATATAATTTCTGGGAAAAATTTTACACGAAATTAAATATCTTTCCATGGGTAAATACTTAACTCACATAAAATTAAATAAAAATGCTCAATAGAAGAGAAATTGATTGGATGTTTCTTGTATCTAAGTAACTCATATATTAAATAATAGGAAAATGTTGAACCAGTATCTATAAAATTTCAGAGAAAAGGTAAATGAGGCTCATTATTGCTACATAATTAAACATTGTGTTGAAATTATTAAAAAATAAAATCAGACCAGAAGAAAATGATTAGAAACATATGAGTTAGAAAGCATAAAGGTAAAATTATCTCTATTTGCAGATTCTGTGATAAAATATCTACAAAACTACAGAAAATCAAAGAAGAGGAGATGGTGAAAGTTGGGGAGATATATATCTCTCTCTCGCCCCCTCTATCTCAAGAGAGAGATGAAATAAAGATTAAATAATTGAGTAAGTAACAGGATATGGATATAAAATTAATATTCTAAGAGTAAAGTACCTTGTGATGGTTAATTTTATGTGTCAGCTTGATGGCCAGGCCACAGTGTCCAGATATTTGGTCAAACACTATTCTAGATGCTTCTGTGGAGGTATTTTTAGATAAGATTAACATTTCAATCAGTAGACTTTGAGTAAAACAAGTTACCCTATAAAATATGCATGGGCTTCATCCAATCAGTCACAGGTTTTAAAAGAAAAAAAATGACCTCTCCCGAGAAAGAGGAAATGTCAGGAGCCTACCTCTGGTCTTGAGATGCAGTACCAGCTCTTCCTTGCGCCTCCAGCCTGCTCATCTACTTTGCAGATTTTGAGCTTATCAGCCTCTCCCATCATGTGACCTATTCTTAAAATGGATCTCTCCCAACACCCCTCCCACACCTATCCCCTGACATGCACATCATTTCTGTCTTCCTGGAGAACTCCCACTAACAGTGTAATTTATAGAAGGACCCATTATAACTAAAAGGTAGTATCTGTAGGTAATAGTCCTATGAATAAATGTATCAAGAAAGTTACAAAACCTGACTGAGGAAAATTATAAAACATCTCAAAAAGAAAGAAGGAAAGCCCATGTAGTAGGATAAGATGATACATCACGGAGATGTTAATTTACCCCAAGTCAATATAAATTTAATATAATCTCAATATGTCATTTCATCTTTTGTTCAGGAGTGCCCCCCAAAAAATGGTTCTCACAATGGCCATTTCTAAGTCAACATTAAAAACTATAGTTCTCAATATATAATGGAGTTATGTTAAATAAATCTGACATGTAACTCTAAAAAAGGAAAACATATATATAATAGAAAAAATGAGTGAATTTCTGCATAATTTAGGAGTCTATAAACCTATCTCACTGTGACTTAAAATCCAAAAGCAGTACAGATAAATATTGATAAATTTGACAATATAAAATAAAATATATATATATATTGGGTAGATATTGACCTTCTTGGCCATTAGACCAACGACTAGGTTTAAGTCACAGCACAATCAAGCTAAGGAGATGCTGGCTTTGAAAACAAAGGGAAAGAAGTATTACCTAACAAGGGGACCACTTATGCCCCATCAGCTCTTCTTTTTCCCTATTAATCTGCAACTAATAACTTATACAACTAAATGCTTCATCCAATGAGGCCTTGTGACTCTCTGACATTTTCATTTTAGAGTAGGTCAACTTGGAGTCAATGACTGATAAGGCAGGATGGGCCCAACAGGACTTGCTGGGCAAATGGAGATGATATTTCCAAGAACACAGCAAGTCTGGCCCTGTTAGAACTGTTGATTCTTAAACAAGTGGTACTTTTCACTGTAGGGAATCATTATCCCTGCCTTCAACATCCAACACAAAGTTACTGGCTCCCAGCACTATGGATTTATAGAGGTCTCTCTGAATGCATGAGAATGGTTCATTCATGGTTAAGGTGACAGCAATGAATGGTAGACAGCATTCATGAATGCTGTAATGTCATGGCTAACGTGACAGAAACATGAAGGTTCATTCATGGTTAAGGTGCCATTGGCCCATCCAGGGCCAGTGACAACTCAGGGAGTTTGACTTGAGTAAGAAAGTCAAAACAAAGGGCTGAATTGCCATAGACAGTGCTCCCAAGGGCCAGCATTTTTACATTTTTAGCAACTTTTAGACTGTTGTTATTGTCCCAACCATCTGGTCTGCCGCTTACTTGAAAGACTGCAGATGATCAGGTTAAAGATAGCCCTCTTTGGGGTGTGAACTATGGCGACAAATTATAATGGTAATCAGTCTGAGTTACCCATGTAGATGCTCAGATAACAGACTTAGTGGAATTAGGATGCTGATCAAGACTGTACTTTCTAGCATCACCATGGCCACCTGGACTTTCATTGCATCAGGCACGGCCCTGGTGCGATGAAATCTACCATCACAGATTGTCCACATAATAAAGGATTATGCATTTGTTATGAAGAAGCTACTACTGTATACTAGGCACGTGATTCCTGTCTAAAGTTGGCCCATTTGTCTTGCAGTGAAGAAGGCCATATTGCATGGGACATTGACTCCAATGTGCTCCCAGAAAATTGACTATATTTTAACTTTGACGCCTGGTTGAAGCTACCAATGGAAGCTCACAACTGTTTACACATTTTTAGGATATGATGTTGTAATAGGCTGTTCTTTCACAGCTGTAAAGAAATACCTGAGACTGGGTAACTTATAAAGAAAAGAAGTTTAATTGGTTATGGCTCTGCAGACTGTACAGAAACATGGCTGGGGAGGCCTCAGGAAACTCACAACCATGGCAGAAGGTGAAGGGAAAGCAGGCACCTCTTACATGGCCGGAGCAGGAGGAAGCAAGAGAAGGGGTGGTGGAGGGTGGAGGGGATGCTACATACTTTCAAACAAGATCTCGTGAGAACTCGTGAGAATAGCAAGGGGGATTTCTGCCCCCATGATTCAGTCACCTCCCACCAAGCCCCTCCTTCAACACTGGGGACTATGATTTGACATGAGATTTGGGCTGGGGACACAGACCCAAATTATGTCAGATGTTATTTCAATCTGATGAGCATCTTCTGGTCACACTATGGCGGCCCATCAAACTAATTTTTACCATGTTTTCAGTGTTTTGGACCATTTTCAGTCTGACATTGTTATGGCTTTTGTTGAGTAGGCCACTTATAATGGACCAATAGTCAGTGTACTTGACAGGCAATCCAGATTCCTTATAAGCTGCAGACATCTAGCATTATTGAAAAGCAGAATTAACTCCTCAAAATTAAGATCAAAAGGATATCTCACTCTACTTCTGCCCTCTCTCTCTTTGCTCCATGAGCCTTAGGCAGTTTGATCATTGAATGTAGCCATGCCCAAACAGGATTCTCTTCTTGTTGATTACTCCCCAGTTAATGATCAAATGAAAGAAGTGGAGGATCATGTATATTGCTTTTGAAAATTTTAATTACACCTTGACCATTTCTGGACATGATGATTTATTTTTATTCTATCAAAAACTACAGGCCAGTGTGATCTGTACACTATGTGACATCCTACCCAAAATGGGGCCTACTATATACAAACTTAATTTTGGATTAGCCACCTGGATTATTTTGTTGGATTGACATGATCCTAGATCATAAAGGTAATGAAAACTTGGTTGAGTACACTGGTAGCCAAGAACCATATAGTGACCCATGTACGCTAAGGCAGCGTATATAATGAGTCTCTCTGTACATTGTATAAAACTGTCCTGGTTCTTCCTGCACTTGACCTGCCAGATGAAAGGTCTGGGCATAAGTAGGAGGTAATTGAAGAACGGTGAAGCCGTAGCTACTAGGATGAGACACACTTGTTTTGTGAACTTGAAAGAGCAGTAACAACCCCAGAACCTAAGAAAGAGATACCCACATTAGACCCTGAGAGGTTCAGGGAGTGGAAAACAATTAATGTTCTTTGTCCTCTAGATCTCAAACCACAGCCTGGCAAAACAATCATTAAGCAGTAGTTGTGACTTATAACTGACCTACTGCTGGGTTATGAAAATAGAAGTAAATTCCTGTGGATGTGACTAGCCCTGAAATGTTCTGATGCCTCAGAAGCCATCAATCGTAGCTCCTAATATGGAGTTTCACCTCCCTGCCCTATACATGTAGAAGAACATGGGCCAGAACTGTCTTGCTTCAGGCTAATGGATACAAATTTATATTCTGTTTCTGATACGTGAGTGGCCTCAGCTTGTTCCTGGGTGGCAAGAGAGGCTGCAACTATTTGGTCATGGCTCAAGTGGCTTAGTCAAATCAATGTAATGATGATCAAAGTCAAGTTTAACACTTCAGATTATATGTTTATATGTTTAAGAGAGCCTGCCATGGAGCATCTTTTCATTAGGGATGGGGTTGCTTTCTGGCCACTCTGTAGGCAGTAATTATTGGCAAAATCCCCCAATTCAGAAAGTCAATCTAGGTTGTGAATTGAAATAAATAAAAGACTGATCTTAGGCTATATCTTTGCTGCCTGAAATAAGACCTGCTGGCCTCCTCTAAGACTTACTTATATTTGGTTGAGTCTGTGATTTTGAGAGGCCTAGTTTCAGTCACTAATACAAATTGGTTTTATCCTAATGCCTGGATTCTGGTTAATAGTAGTCTTAATTTAAAATTTCATAAAAATTAAACTGATTTGTTCTCACCCTCTGCTGGTAAGATTATTCCAAATGGCCAACCAATTGGCATACTCATGAGAAAATTTGACTTCAGCCAAGAATGTGTTAGAAGCAGGAGTACATTGGTGGGAGAGGCAACTCACCGAAGCCCTGAGTATCCATCCCTGTATTTTCTTGCTAGAATCCCAAGAAAAGAAGGTCTTGACTGCTCTTTATTCAGGCTATTTCTCAGCGTTTGAAGGCAATAACACTAAGAGATGAAGTAATATTTCTCTTTAGTACAAAGAACAGTCTTGTGTAACATCCATATGGATCATATCGTGCCACACCTGTGGGACTTGGGGGCAAGGGAAAGTGACATGAATGTGCTGATGCTCATGTTGCTCACTGTGCTGTGAGCAAGAAAGTCCCTTGTTTCTCTCCCAGAAATCTCATGTCTTCTTCCAGCAGCAATGAAAGGGTAATGGACTAAGTTAATAGCTTGTGAGATAAAGTTAAATCCAAGATCTGACAATAATGTTGACCTTTTAACTGAAAGATTTCTTTTTTGTGATCAGCTCTCCATCCTCATTGTTTTGGAAATTTTTCACTCTATTTCTCACTTCTATGTCACTATAATAGAATTTTAATTCTTTTGTATGGTAATTTTGTATAAATTTTGTTATGGTTTCCAATGGTAATTTCTCATGTAAATTCAGTCCCAGAGTCTTATGAGAACAGTTTTTTTGGCTGCAAATTCTCTGAGGAAAGCATTATCATTATCTTTTTTCCACCTTGAGCTGGCCAAGCCAAATAGGATTCCCTGATGGGTTCTCTTTCTAACTGATGGAATTTTTCCAGTCACCCCTTCAATGAGGATGCAATCTCTTTAGAATCTTGGCTTTGTGATAGTCACACTTTCAGCTTTCAATTTTTCATAGTCCCAAGCCTTGTTCTCTTATTCTCTTATGTTTGATTGTTAACCAACAAAGCCCTGGGGTCATTTCCTGTGCAGTTCTGGCTCTTACGTTAACTTGTCACTTTTTCTCAGATAATTGTTTATCCTTTGGCTTCAGGGAATTCTCTTACTTTTGCTGTGAGCTCAACAATGCGTAAAAAAGTCATATATTATGTAGATCCTGTGTCTTTTTCAAAAAAAACATTTGAAAATATTGAAGCCATCATATCGTTTTTGCTA